ACAGTACCCAAGGTGAGGCTGCACCAACGCTTACATTGGGATAATCACCTCTTTTGACCAGCTGGTTATGCTGTGTTTGATGCACCCCAGGATGCGGTTTGCCCTTTTGGCTGCCAGGGCACACTGCTGACTCATATTGAGCCTATAAATTCTGTTAAGTTCTATAAATATTTTGTAAAATTTGCTTTGTTGATGCATGAAATCATGTAAAACATTAAAATCAGGAACACTATAAACAGAAACTTCTGTATGTCTGTAGCACAGGAAACAAAGATAAATCCAAATTTTCCTTAATACAATGGCAAATCACAATCTGCAAAAAGCCTCTTGTAATTTCTGGATTTAGTTTTCAGATATAGAAATGACCCAGATAGTATCTTAAGCCAGAAGAAAAATAAAGGAAATTTATACCAAAAGCATGAGTTTATTGTGTGGTGTGTTTCAGGTTTTCTTCACTCACAACTACCCCCAATTCAAAATAAGAGTTCATTTATCTTTTAACCATTTCAGGCATTCTGTAAACACTTTCCCGAGCTGCCTACATGTCTTTACAGTTCTCCACTTTCAGAGAAGCTGTTGAAAATCTTGTAGACACCAATGATGCCTATTGCAAAAATTTCTGGAAGTCCATTTGCTTTTCCATCTTCTCAAATCCTCAATAACTTTGCAGCAACTCCAAATAAAAGCCAAGCCTTTCTTTTGCTCAGATGTCTACGACACAAAGTAAGCCGGTTCTTCAAGTATAAAAGGTAGCTCCAGCAGTGTCCAGACTTATCTGGAATCAAATACTTCTTGGCTTACTTCACAGTACAAGCACAAGTTTCTGAATATCCTTGCCTACCACACCTTTCCTGACCAGCCTGCAACGGTACTCATACACCTTTTGTAACCATGTTTTCCAGGGCTTTGGAAAAATAAGTCTCCTCCACCAAGCACTTGATCGGAGTGGGGTCAAACAGTAAGGACAGATGTCTCACTGTTAACCTTTACACAGCTTGGAGAATCCATCTCTTTTCTCTTGTGTATTGGCAACATTTCTTAGTAGACATCTTCCTCTTCCAACTAGAAATCACCAGTTTTGCTCTTCTGACTGGTAGCAGAGAGAGGCGATGAGCATCTGGACAGTGAAACCTCTGTTCAGGGAGCAATCCTGTTCATGCCGTGCCATGCCAGCTGCTGGGAACACTGCTTGCACTGCAAGGAGAGCGGCCATCTAGCTCTGATGCTCCATCACCATTCCTCCTCTTTCCCACGCCATCTTTAACACTCTGCTGACTGAAGCCACATGGTGGTCCATTAGAAGCAATATTCCCAAATAAATGGTCCACAGAGGAAACTATCTTGCTTCAGACCTCTGTAGTTCACTATTGCTCAGGCATCAGAAACGCTGTGCAATTTGCAAGTCCATCTGCCTGTGCAATTTCCATGTAGTTTATGCCAATGCCTTGTGAGTTGGTACTCAGCAACATACCCTTCAGTTGTCCTCAACAGAAGAGCTTGTTCATCTGTCCCCTTCCCAGACTTGTTCCCACATCTGCAATTCCCAGTAGCTATTCAGATACTCACAGATTTTTAAAAGGTCGGTGAGCCAGGAATACTGTTATTTAAGTGGAGACCTGCGTGTATAAAATAGTTAACAAGGAAAACACATTAGACTGCAATATTGCAATGCCTGAATGCACTGAGTGAGGTAAGTAATATTAAACTTGTATCACTACATGTCAAGCAAACAGACAAGACTGATGTAACATTATGTACATATTACCTCAGTGTGAAAGCTATGCCTCTCACTAGATTCTGACCGGTTGTGTGGCCAGCATCCCAAATAAAGAATCCCTATCGGTTTTTTCCACTTCTACACTGGAAGCGATAGTATAATGACCACCATGAAAGAGTACATACAACGGTCCTGCTAACCACACCAAAACATATATAGTCATTAAAACAGGAAGACCAAAGAAAGAATAAAACTCATGTAAACCAAACCATTAAGACCTGCTATGAATTGAACCTGAGATAATTTAACTCCTTTCCTATTCCTTTTTAAGGAGAGGTATGTCAAAAAAGCATTCTCATTTAAAAGCCAGACAAACACACTGTATGTGACATAAAAAGAATAGTAAAACACATGGAGCGTTAGCATGTGAAAGAAACATGTTGCAAGTATGTCAAATACTGCTTTTTATATTTTATTAACAAGTAAGCATCCCTGGAACTGGGTCTATATAAAAAATACTTAATTAACCAATCAGAATACAAGGGAGTTATATAAATTTATTTTATGCAACATTGATTAGTTTTGAAAATTCCCATTTTTAATGTTTTAATTTCATCTTTTATTTAAAAAAAAAATCACTAAAAGGACACAACCCACAAAAATACAATCTGTATCTGCTCTATATTTACAGATAACTGGTCACTATTAAGGCACAGATTTAAAACTAACATTTTTATGTAGCAAGTCAAATATTTGTGCATAATATAACACTAACAATACGGTACACTGTACTGTCATATTCCCTTTGTGGAATCAAAATAAGTGAGAAATTTTTTTCTTCCAGTGTGTTCTTTTTTTTGTGTGAAGCCCTCTTGAAAAATAACGTTGTTAATGGGAAATTCTTCACTTTGGTGTAGATGATATAAGCACTGCTCAGCAAAAGACCACATCAACTTAATACTGTAATAAAATCAGTTTCTGAGTATAGTACTGTCTAGATACATAGTATGTACTTAAGAAAGATTAACAATCTAAGAGTATAAAGGTTTTTTGATGCTTCTAAAGTTTAGGCAAAACAAGCAAGAAGGGGTTGCAGAAAATTCTGTACAAAGTGCTGCTGAATATTTATTTCATTAAAAATATTTTATAAAATTAACATGACTGAATACACTTTGATTTGCAAACACTGGTCTTACAGATGCAATCAGTTAAATGACAGCTTATCTGTGAGCACGTAGTCCATGTGAATGGAACTACCTACATGCTTAGAAGTAAGGACAAGTGTAAATAGTTTTAGAATTAGAAGTTGTGGCTTCCACGAGGTTTCCATGAAGTTGCTCTTGCCCATGTAACACACATACACACAAGTATCTCATAGATATGTGGATATTGACTTCTGGCATTTGAGCACAGTAACTTTGATGTGAACAACTGCACGTGTACAAGATGCAGTTTTATCCATTCAGATCTCTAGTACAATTTTAAAACCAGAGGAAGCTAACTGCTCCTTGGTCTACAGGAGAAGTCACCCAGCTATACACCATTAAGTAGATATGGCTGAAATGAGTACTGAGCAGTTATTTTTTGCTAACCGCAGCAAGACTTTATATTATTGCTTGATCATCTATGCCCTCAAGTAATAGTTTCTTTAAATTCCCTTTCTGTGTGCAAATTTCTCTATACATCATTTTGTATTCTCACCTTAAAAGAATTATCCATGGAAAGTGTCAAAACTATTTCTCACCCATTTTTGCATAAAAACCAACTACTGTAAATGTTATTCTAATGCCTTCTGTTAAGAGCACTTGACAGTGGTTTATGTCCATCTCAAAAGGCTTGTACACTGAACATAAATAATATTTTACAGTAGAGGTAATTCACAATATTTCTTATGGGAATGCTTTTCAACAAATTAATGCTTGGAAACTTCATATTGCATTGCAGAAAGAGGCACTTTATGAATTCCTTCATTATATCAGAACCCTTCATAAACCCATAACGAGACAATGGTAAAGACAGAGGAATAATATTGCCAAATCATTCGGACTTTCACAGTATAAGAATGCAATAGTTAGCTCTAGCCACTTATAATATGGACTCTTTCTGTTGAACATAACTTGTTTCAGAAATAGTTCATCTCCAGAGTTTTAAACACTTTTGCAGCTGACGATTACAAATCTAGATTGAACAAAACAGATGCTATTACACCTATTTTACGTAGGTCTCTTAATTGCTGCATGCATAGTCATGTAAGTAATATGCGTCACTTATTAAATGGCAACAGTGCTGTCTTGTCAAATTAGATTAGTTGTCTGTTTAATCAAACTGACAGCCCAGAGCTCTAGTTTGATGAAAGCCTTTCATTCTCTACCATAAATCTGCAGTAGATCAGTTTAATCTGTTACGTATTGTAGGTGTATAGAATCTAAAAATAAAAGTCTGATATAAATAAGTGTCCTTTAGTGGCAGGGTACTAAAAATAGCCCTTTGCTTTGAGACAACCATTAAAAACAGTTTTAGCATAACAGGCAGCAGTTAAATATGATGACTGCAAAGGGTTAATATTGCAAGGTCCATTTTGGTCTTTCATTGCATCTGTTACAGTGAGTGAGTATTATTGCAAGCAGCATTAGACTGCTTCATAAGAGCGTAATAGGACTGGTCCACTACCAAGTGGCTTGATTTGGAACAGTCTCTTCAGATAACTACCAGGGAGACAGAGGGGGAAAAATCTGCCTAAGAACGAGTTTCTAGTACCATTATAGTGAGATGTGACTTAATGCAGGAACACCTGAAAAAAATTTGATTAGTGCCAATATAAAAATTGATATGGAAATGAAAGAGAAATATATTTCCACAGGACAAGAAATCAGAACATGTAAAGTGCAGAAAGACCTCAATAATTATTTTAAGCAGTACCAGAAAAATCCATCTGGATAAAAACCCAAAATCTATGCTCTCTGGCATCCCAGCTCTTCATTCTTCCTTCATTCAACAAAGTAAAAATTCAGTGCATACATTATAGTTATAGGTAATAAAATACTAAACAAAGAACCCTATATTATTATTATTGCAAATTCTGTCCAATCTACACGAGTAAAACGTAACCCACATTTGGTGTTCTGAAAGACAACAGACAAAATGTGTTTTCTTTTTTTTTGGCACAGTATTGTGCAGACAAAATGCTTTGGTCCTTGACACCCAAACTCCCAAAGTGCAGAGGGTGGTGTGCAGTGAAGGCTGTCCACAGGATTGCCATGTCCATCTTTACAGCTGACTTTCTGAGCCACGACTTACTGCTACCAGCGACCGCTGACACTAGCAATGTCCGAATGATACTGACGCGGCAGTCTTCCACTAGCTCCACCTTCCAGGAATGAGGCACGTATGTTTGATGGGTCAAAGAGCTTTCTTCGGTTTTTATTCAGCTCTATAAAGGTCACACAAAAAAATTTCTCATCAGAAATTAAATTTCAATATTTTGATTTAAAGCAAAAGCAAAATTTCTATTTAAGCAAAGAAAATATTTTAGACAGAACAGTATGAACTGAAAATGTCTGCGAGGTACTCGTTCAATTTAACAGTTCAACAGGATAGTAAGGTGCCAGGTTAAGACTCATAGAGGCTGCTTGGGACGCAGGCACCTATTTGGTGCAATTCTTAATTGGCACTGATACAGTGTGGAGTAGATAATATTTTGCAATATTGATTTAGATCAAATTGACATAGCTGAAACACTTTAAAAAGGTTCTGTTATAATACCCAAAGGCTGCAATCTTCCTGAAGGTACATGCACACAGAATGTACGGCTGCAGCACAACCATGCAATGTAAACTGAGATGACAGAAAAGCTTACTGGCAACTTGATAATTTCTCAAGGCACAATTCTTTAAACACAACACTGAAGCAATATCTTAGTAAGGATTTTCAGAAAAAACAGATGCTCACCTCTGATTCAAACATGCACCCTAAGCTTGTATTAGCAAATGCTCATCCAAAATGTTTTTCCTTTCCCCACTTTTCTATTCTTGTAAACAAACTCCGTGATAGATACAAATCAGTGAAAGATTACATAGATTTTCATGACTGCTATTGAACTAAGTACATTGCATTTTTACCTTTTTATGCCACCATTTTAAATTCATAGAAAACATTCACTAATGGCATCAGAAGAGATGCAATTGGGAGAAAAATGATCTAGTGTTACAGTGAAGCATCTGAAGAAAACCCTTCCTCTGATACAGATTCATTGCCTAGACAATGTAATATGAAATCTCATGCCAGTTGTTACAATTCGAAAAAAATCTAGTTAGGCATTATGTACTACAACACATTGTAAGAAATTATATTTGGCCTTCATCTTTCTGCATGTAGGGTACAAGACAACCTTTCAACTAAAGTGGGTTGGAAAAATTCCAAATAAGACTTAGGTGTTTCTTTTCAAACCTATACGTTTTGCAGAAACAACTGGCCTTGGGGAAAAAAACAAACAAAAAACCAAACAAACGAAAAGCAAAGCCCCCCAAAACCCAGGCAGTTTTTCCCAGTAGAATGATTGCTCTGCTAATCAATAAAGTGGGGGACAAGGAACCAAAAGCCTGAAAATGCCAGTTCCGACCGGTATGTAGTGCCGTTCAGACTCTGCAGAGCCTGTAATCCCAGAGCTTCTAGGACCTACAGTTTTGGGGCATAAAACAAAGTTCACAATCTGCTGTAAAACAAACTTTCTACCAAGCTCCAACTTTACAAGGGGACACAGGACTATGCAACTGAAATCTTATTTGGTAATGTGAAAGCTCTATGAAGCCTGGTTTTAAGTGCCTGCTGATGAGGGGCAAGCCAATATGACCTCTGTGGACTACATTCTTACTTTTCAGTCTTTCCAAGATCCTTTGTCAACTCTAAACACACAACTCAAGTGAGAAGAATACAAACAATACTTAAAATCAACAAATCTGTGTTATTTACCTGAGATTGCAAGCAGCATTTTTCTTCTGGCACCAAAAGTGGTAATTCCTAACTCTTTCAAATCTTGATCAGTAAGAGTAAGGAATGTCTGCAGATCAATCTAGAGTAAAAAGAAATAGGCAAATCATGCAAAACAAGTCTCTCCCCAAAAGTATGAAGCCATAAATGTGGTTCAGAATAGCTTCACAATTTTTTTTCCTACTGCATTTTACAGTTACTCTGCCAACCTATTCTTTGCATGTAAACAGCAATCATTGCTTTCCAATGGATTCTTCACACAGTTGCTCAATTTGCTACTCTGCATTTCTGACAGAAAAAGAGAAACTAAAAAGCGAGCAGTTTTAGACAAGCACAGAAGATAATTAATCTTATTTATTTGTGACTCTCGAGATTTTGAGTATTTACCACAATTGCTGCAATGTACTTGGGAATAGCCAGGTATATATGTCTGTAGATATCGTAGGTGCTTCAGACTATAGTAGGTTAGCAGAGGATGATTGCCCAACTACGGGTGACGCATTTGAATTAAAGCACTGAGTATTTCATAGCATTCCAAAGTGTGTGCAACCATGTATGTTTGCGGGTGTTTTTCCTCCCAATAAAATTCACAGAAATGTGGTGGAAAATTGTTTAGCTTTCACTCTGGCCAAACTACTTGGCTCATCTCACACCTAATCAGCAACTCGAGGTAAGAAAAACCAAAACAAAAACCCACCTGTCAAGGAAAAGCCATCTTTAGTGTTAGAAACCAATACAGCCATCTCTCCTTTTTAGGAGAGTGACTAAGATAATAGGAAAGGATTAATGACTGGATAATATGGGTATTACGGAACATGCAGGGGAGTACAGAGGAGAGAATTCTGTGTACAGTTCCTTAGGTTTAATTGAGGCACAGCTGGATTTATTCGCTCATATTGAGGATTGACCTTGCCACTTTCAGACTGGTTGCAGGCAAACCCCTGCTGGTGTCTATCCCACACCTGCCAGTGCTTTGCAATCCAAAAAGTTCATTAGCTCAGGTGCAGCCAGTTCCTAAGCACTTTTGTGCAGTACTACACAGGAATAAAATTCCCCTATAGCACTTAAGCAGCATGATTAGAGAGAGACAAGAAATGCTGGCAGGAAACGCACCAGATCCAGCTGCCCCCGAGCTGAGACAGCAGCAATACACTTCAGTGGACTCAGGACGATTCTGTGAGCACATATACATAAGTGACTTAGTGCACAGGAGAAGGTACAAATTTGCCTCATATCTACCCTTGGACTAGTGTAGTACACACTTCAACGTGCCCCTGGTGTGCACAGTTTTCCTCTCGTAGAAGCAAATCTGAAGCTAAATATTGGCACAGCAGAGCAACTTGTGCAACATGAGTGGAAGGTCATCTTGGAGTTTGTTCTTCATGAACACATGCACGGTTCTCTTAATGACATGGCAATCTGCAAAAACCCACTTTGTGTGGTCTATTAAGAGAAAACATGCAGGTGCAAATCCAAGACCAGCAACTGGTGCAGACCTCACTGCTGATAAAGCTGTGAAACAGACACATGGGTCCAGAACACAGGAAGATGCCAAATCCAGCTGTGGTCCTTCCCCTGTACTACATAAGGTACTGACACAATCCACACGGACATCTGTTTTGCTCCCTAGTACCCCCAGTTCCAGCGGTGTGACACATACACCTTCCCACATACAACTACAGTGCTTTCAGGACAAGCTCAGGGGCTCTATGTCTAAGCCAATAAGTCTTGCAGCTGGGCTCACTGTACTTTTGTGACACAGTTAAATCTCTCACCAGAATAAACTATCTGCAGATAATCAAGTTGACTCTACCTAGATAGTATTCTACAGATATAAAATACTACCATTTGGACTAAACTGAGATTAGTTGGTGTGGAGGCAGAAAGCTCACAGAGATGACTGACCATATCTCCCTGTTGGGAGTGGATCAAAGGAAGTCAACTGGCACACAGGGGAAGAGGCAAGGGATGAATATATGTGACCCCAGCATCAGCCGAGACAAGACATTACTACTGAATGCAGACTGGATTTCCATAACCTATACATGAAGTTGACCGAAAGCTATTAAATTCTAGTTAGCATCCTAGTTTACAAGTAGGAGCCAAGGTTTAAATTTCCTTGAATGAAAAAAAAAAAACAAACAACCCCAAACCTAAAACCCTAGTTTAATTCTTTGTTAAGTATAAATCAAAGGTGCAGGACAAAACAGTACTCATGTACAGGTTGGCTATTGAAAGACACATGATACAGCTTTGAAAGAATAGCTCACGAAAATCCTTCCATAAAGTGAGACTTTTTAGTGGTCAAGAGAGAGAGCAACTACTGCTGGAAAACATGCTACAAACACAAAGGTGTCTTTCAAAGGAATACTAACCTCTTGCTGTTGGAATACATCTGTGTATTTGCCCAAACCAAGTTTGCTGAACAGCTCGGGCAGATCAGATCCCTTGAACAAACTGTTCAGGTTACAGCCATTGCTTCCTGTCAGCGAGGAAATGCAGTCCATGTAATTACTGCTACTGAGATAGTGTTCAGCTGAAAGGGAAGAAGTGCACTTTTTAGTCACATCACAGAAGTGCACAATTTTCTGTCATATCAACATTGTATTCAATTAGAGCATTAAATTAACAAAATATATACATCTTTATTATTCAGCAAAAAAAGCCTCTCAGTGGTCTGAGAGAATGAACAGCATAAAGCAAATTTTTTGTTAATTAAGTTCCAGTGTTTGTTTTCTATAGAAAGAATAAAATCACATTATGTGAACTGTCACATGGATACAAGTCAGGAACTCATACAGGGGAAAAGGCTGTAAGACCCCGTTGCTTTTCCTCCTTCTAAGCCCTCTCCTCTTTTCTCCAGTGAATATTTTGGAAAACACCATTGCACACAAATGCAACCAGCCCTTTTTGGTCCGGATGGGGAGTAAACCATGCTGGAGCAATTCCTGGTAAAGGAACTGCCTAGTAGCCACGTGATTTGGCTATTATTTTCATACAATACAGACAAAAAAATAAGTGCAATAGTTTTATAACAGACTAAAACTGGAAATTCACTCCCCACACAATTTTAAAAATCACATTCCTAAAAGGTGTATCTTTAAAAAGAGTTTCCAGGGTGAGGTTCTTAAAAAAACCCAAAAAACTGATTTAGCAGTGCAATTCCTTTCCTCTGTGTGTGCATGCTGGTATTGTGTAATCACATAGTTCGTAACTATTTTTTCTCATACTGTGTAAGAAAAGGATAGCTCCCAGGGAGTGCATCAGGCATTTGTGTAAATGGGGCCATCGTGAGTGCTCCCTCGTTACTGACACAGGAAAGAACAGCAGTGAATGCATAAGAGGCCTGCAGGAGGTAAAGGATACTTTCCCAGGTGAGTAAAATTAAGATTGCCCCCGAGACTTATGCTATGGCCTCCACTATAAAATTCCAATAGGATGTGAAAACCACCATTTTTCACAACTGGCTATGCTACATTTCTTGTTTTCTGGGCACAGACTAATTAGAAGCATTTGGGATTGGATTTACAGAGTTTGGAGAATTTCTATCAACCTCAGCTCCATTTTGGAAAAGAGTTTTAAAATACAGTAAACCATTCAACGTTGAAAATGTGAACATTGAGTTTGACAAATGAAGCAATAACTAAGTTGATTTTTAGACTTTAAAAGGTGATGCCTGAATTTCTTCACTATCAGAGTAAGATAACATTAAAAATACCCAAACAGAAATTCATGATCCTACACTCAGGGCAGATGCAAGGTCACATATTGAAAACTGAATATTAAGAAATATTTCTTACTGGTGCAGTCAGGAAGCATTATCTTAAAAACAAAGAAGAAATTCAACACTACTATGCAATTGTGTCAATGAACACTTAAATTTTAGTACTCTGGCACCTATACATTAAGGTAAATACATTTGTTCAGCCAACTCATAACTATTTCTTTTGTCCCTCCTCCACACATTTCATTCTCGAGAAAGCTACAGCTGCTATAGAACAGTTTCCCCCACCACCAATGTATTCGCATTTCTAATTTTCTTCTAATGCATATGTAAATAGATTTTTAATCCTCATTTATTTTGATTAACTTAGATCTGCCATTTTTGTCCAATTAACTTGGAAACATCAATGGCTTGATTTAAAAGATAAACTTTTCATCTCTCTTGTTCTGTGAGTACTTAGAATATGGTACGCAGCCATTCACAGCTGAACTAATGTGCTTTTTAAAATAATAAATAATTCCAAGTATACCAACCATGAATATTTTCTCTAATTGAAGCTATCCTTTCTTAGAATGCCCAACTTTTACATCTGTTTACTTTGCAGTTAATCTGGGATTTAGGTTTTATTCAACTTTATAAGAAAAATGCAACAAAAAAGTAAAAAAAAAAAGTAAAAACAGCCAGAGCAGTTATTTCCCCATAATGCAGTTAGTTAGTATGGACCAGTATTCTCTACCTCCATTTTTCACTCTTTCAAAAAGGCATATATTAAGTTATTAAAAAAAAAAGAAATTAAGTTTCAAAGAGTTCAACTGAAGTAAAATTTTAATTTGTGAGTTTTAAACAGTGTTTAATAAGTAATTACAAGATTTACAGCCTGTATCCACAGAAACCAGTGTTTAAAATCATGTGCTAGGTCATGCCAAACATATGGACAGCCTTATTTTATCACCATAAAGAGAATCATGCTTTAAAATTCAGGATCAGCACAGATTATGACTTCTCCACCAGCCAGCACAGAGCCCAATAAAGACCTGGTGGCTGTTGTTGCATCGATAACAGAGCAGAACAATAGTAGTCTAGAAATAATCTTTTATATAGGTCTGTTTTCAGTACACCTTGAAAAACCCCTTCCAAGACAGCAAAGAGCTTTCAGCAAGAATGTCTTTAATTTAAAAAATTTCCTTAAAAGTTTTCCTTTATATCATGTTGTATATCATGTTACACAATCTTGCATATGCTTTCACTTTTCAATTTGTAAAATACATTTACTTTACAGGTGCCGGTAATTTAAATCCCTAGTGATGTCAAGAAACATTTATATTAAAATAAATATTCATTGATATCAACATGATTTTTTTTTTTTTAAATTTCAGATCTTAAGAAATTATTAACCTGATTTATTTTGTTTCCGTTTGGGGCTGCCAATTGAGGAGACAAATTCATTATGAGCTGTGGGTCCAAGCCCATTACGGTCTCTCCAGTTATCAGATTCACTGCCACTTCCCAGGTGCTCCCGACTGTTGGACCGTGAGAGAGACATTGAGGAACCCTGCAAATCAAAAAGAGAAAATTTGGGCAGAAAACAGAAGTTTCATTGTGACTCAGATGTTTTCTTTGAAGCAGCTCAGTTTAAAAAAACAGCTTTTAAGGCTTGCAAACATTCTTTTGGCAGTTGATCAATAGTCAAATAATTGCAAACCAGACACAAAAACAGCAGGTGTGCTTAAAACATATGCAGTTTACAGATTTTAAGCAGAAGTTATTTAAAGACCATGCTTCAAAATAAACTGCTCAGTATTTCCAAGTTTGTTTCCAAAACGTTCCACGGTATCAAATTCCCACACAAATTCTAGACAAAGCAGTCTATCAACTATATCCCTTCACACGGAAGAGAACATAACAGAACATCTATCTGAAGATAAGTGGATCAAGTACACAATACTTGACAACAACATGGTATATAATACAACAACAACAATTCTGCAATGGTTTGTGAATTTGCAGATTTTTTTTTAAATAGATTTTCATATTCCTGTAAAGTACTAATTATCAACTCTCACCACTGTAGGTGAGAACGTTCCAAAATAAGGGAACAGTATTCCCTGAAAGCAGCAGTTAACTATGGAATTGGGTGGGGATGTACTCAAAAAGAGATGGACATTATTGATACCACACACTTACATGAACTAAAAATTGTGGAACCAAAAGAACAATTTAATTCTATACACATCAAATTCCAATTGAAAAGCGTAACTTAGGAGGCAGCAATCTTTTCTACTATTCAGGAAAATTGACACCACTGAAGAAAAAAGGCAAAAGCTCCTTTTCATGGGCAAAATCAGGAGGGTGTGAGCTCTGGTTAGTATGACTCAAGAAATGAAGAAAGGCAGAAATTGACTTCAAGTCTTACAGAAAAGCAAGAAAAGACAGGGCCTCTACATTATGTTAGATCATAGTGACAGCTAATAGTTGTGAAGTAAAAAAGATGTCATCCAATGTTTCTGGAAAACTCAATGCACAGTAAAATACCACAGTGAAGATGAAGTATGTTTGGTGAGCTTATTTTACAAATTAACTTCCTAGACATTAGACTATAATACCACTACTATGTCTGTTCAGACTTCAGCACATGACTCTCAAAGGTGCATACGTATGGAGGAAGTGTGGCGGTACTGCCTCTAATAACCAATGATGTTGAAGACTGCTAAACAGAAGGAGGATACAAGGAATCCAAGTTTTTTAGCTTCCCCAGATGTTTCCACAATAAATCATACCAAACAATGGAAACAGGAGTCCTAACACGCTATCATTTCACTGGAAAGAGCTAAGCCTATGGTTTGCACATGGGCAGACTCCAAGTGACTAAGATACAGTGTTTTTGGTTAGAATGACATGCCTGCTTAGAGACTTTTAGGAGTGCATCAGGGTTTGGGAGAAAACCCCACCTCAGCTCAATCAGTATAGAAAAGTATGTAAAAAAAAAAAACAACCAACTTTGGTTTGTAGCTTTTCCTCTCCCCCTAGTTACTACTGCAAGCTCATTACGTCTATCCAAACCTATTACATGTAGTTGAATGACACAAAAAGTTCACGTCAAGTGGGGAACACCAAGGCACATTTTTACCATGGTTGAATATTTCTTTTGCATTAAAAGATAGGTATATCCTAGAGAAAAGCTGTATGATGTCCCAGTCCTGAAGACACATAACATTTACATTTTATGTAAGTAGGACAGAAATAAGGAAAAAGGTGTCTCTATGGAAGCTGGAAAAGATTACAGCAAGGCAACACACTAAAAAGCAACTTCAGAATGCCTCTGAAAAGAAAGGAACATAAATTCCCTGCAAGATTCCCATGGTGAGACTCTGAAGAGACTTGCTGGACCCTATGGCTGCCTTCTCCCTGGGAAATTTCTGGGCACAGTGAATAGCGCAAATAGAGCAAGATCTTCCAGTTCTACAGCTTTGTCAACAGAAGATAAGATGAGCTGCAGCCATTTCTTGTTCTAACATTCTGCTCCACTATGCAGTGATTCACATTATATAGTTTATCTGTTACATACACATTGTTTCAATTAGGTTACAAAATTTCTACCACTTGCCTATAACTATTGAGACATTTGGTCCCATAAGTTATTTTAAGTTTCTTTAAACAAATATATTTTCAGGAGCGGACTTCTATAAAGCTAGAGTAAGATTCATAAAGCAGGTATAGTTTTGTGTGTTGGGCTGAATGTGTTCCATATGTTTTAATATTTACATAAGAAACATTTTTCACAATAAAAAATATTTAGAACCCTAAAAGGAAAGCTAAAAATCTTATCTGCAAAACTTCTTTTTACAAAAGTTATAGACATTACTCAAGAGGAACAACTGTATCATTCACTAGAAATAAGATTTCCATTACGGTATAGCTTTTTTATACCTCATACGTAGTTGTCATAGATGGCTTGTACGATACATGATTCGCTCTTCTTAGTTCCTTGATAGTTTCTGCAGGCATAGATTTAGAGAACCCCAAACCACTCCACGTATTTGTTGGAGTTCTCACTTCCGTTACAACTGGCTTCTTTAACATAGCTGAAAAAATACAGAGACAAATTAGTAAATCTCAACCTTAGTAAAGGTACTGAGATGATAACCCTGAAGTCATGTATGGTAATAGACTTCAACCCATCAAACGGTAAACTCTAAACACCTCCACTTGCTACACAGCTTGAATCCTACCCTCCCTTAAGGCAATTAACTCTGTCAGAAGACAGATAACCCCATAGGGCTGCAATGAAGCCAAAAGAATCGTATCTGTTTCAAAAAGGAGGGTTTCTGGTTTTCTTATGGTGTGGGGGTATTTGGTTTATTTTTAACAGGGTCAAAGATATGGTTAAGTCCCTTATCAATTTTGTAACGTAATTTATCCCTGAACTAAGGAGCAACTTTGCCAGTATGACAAATATCTTAAAGTTTAATTTGCATCCAAATAAAATCAAGTATTACAGCTGTGAGGTCTCTGAAAACAATGTGGATCGTTTGCATATGGATATACTCACACAGAGCATCTCCCATCTGTGAGTTGTTTATACTATATTTTATACTATGTTGGTATTAAGAAATTTTTGGAACATGAAAACTAATATGCAAATGTTTCACTATCAGCTTTAAATTTGATTAAAAATCAAATTACAAAACTGAAGCTTCAGAAAATTCTTTCAGCCATGTACTAACAAACTTTTCAGAAGTCACTGTTTATCCACATACCTTTGGTTGCTAGTAGCTTCTTCTGTTCATAGTCAAATGCCTAAAAATTAAACATGCAGAGGATATCTTAATCGCCATTCTAACCAAACGTCATTCCAGCACTCAGCTCTTTGTAAAAACAAAAGTTTTGAAAGTGGCCAGTGACTACATCTAGGAGAAACCTGAAGTGCTGCACAATAATTTGTCAGTAGTCCAGTTAGAGCCTTAGTTAAAGTGTTCACTCAAACATAGATAACAAAGATTTTAAATAACCATCTGATATCCACGTGAGCGCGGCTGCAGCAGATTTACAAAC